GATAGCAAACATCATTCTCACAATTTTTTATTTTTAATGTTGTTTGTAGGTATTTAACATGGATGGTAGAAGATTTATCGAGACCATTTTCTCTAGCCACAGAGCTGAATCCATCACTCAAGTGGTCATGAATTTGCCAAAGGATGCAGCTGAGTTTCTCGGTACATATATCTGAACAAGATAATTACTTTAGTTTCATGGTTGTTTTCTATTGCTAATTTTTCTCTGGAGTTGGATCACTTAAAGTGGTATGGTTGGCCGAGTTAACTTCTGCGCAACATTTTATGTTTCACCTAAAAAGCTGTTTACCGTGTGAAGATATTATTATACATACACGACACTTAAAAATTTCCGCCGAACGCTTTTCTTTAATACAGATGCTTTCAGGGGAGTTTTTCAAAGCCATGGTCTGGGTAAAGGATGTAATATGCCAAGACTTCACGTTTATGGGTTCTCGAAAGCTGAAGATCCAGAATTTGAGTTTGAAGTGGTAAAGTTAAATTTTTTTTTTTTTCTCTTTATTCGACATACTAAACCTATGACCCTTAATCATACTTTCTACTTTCTTTTTCATATCAGCGTATAAGATCTGCACTGTCAGAGGCGGCTATTGAAGTCGACATGCACAGAGTTCGAGTTGTTGCACCCGGGAAATGGATGTTGTGTGCATCATTCATCTTGCCCGAGAGAGCCGCGTATTCTAAAACAGGTTGAGACATTTACAAATACGTCCCCATGCTTGCGTGAGTATTTATTTGTGTGTACATATGTTTATGTGCTTAGTATTCTGATGATTACTTATTCACTGGTGTCCGGAAGGACAATCGATGATTAATTATAACTGGATACTAATGCAAATGCATAATGAGCATGTGCTTAGAAGTTCTTACAGTAGCAATTTCGTCTTATTTGAGATAATTTGTTACTAATGTAGTTACCTATGAAAACCTTAGTTGTTAAATTTAATTATTATTCAGCTAATCTCTTATGATGTGTCTTTATTTGCTGATATTTTGTTGAATATAAAGATCTAAAGGTTAATTGTGTATACTGATCACTGACCCTAAAATTTTAACTACATTGAAATAGATTTGTCTCTTAGTGTCATATTGCATTTGTTGGTGATTGCCTCGTATAGTCATACACTGATACAAGGAATGATTGAAGTAAGTCACTCAAGTTTCAAGAAATTTATCTAAGGCACGTGAAAAAGGATAAATTGAAACAAATACCACTAAAGCTGATTCTAATGTGTAATTATCAAAATAATAATAATAGAAGACTCTTAAAAATGCAAACAATCTTATAGTATATGCGGTGCATCGAGTTTGATAAATCGACTTGCGTAATGGTGCACAGAGTGTGACAAACTGACTTGTTTATCGACTTGATTAATGGTTAGGTCGTTTTATACAAATTTGGATTTTGTGTTTTGAAATTAATCCAATCACTAGTTTAATTACTCAATTAATTGTCCTTTTCTTATTTAATTCACTTGTACAAGTATTTACGAAATTAGTAGGTAGGATAAACCTAAACAGTAAATCGTGAGATCTCAACAGTATAAATTGCGGCACAAACAAAATAGCACCCTTTAGACCACAACAATATAGCTGACAATTTCTGTACATAAACTGCATTTTCCTCTTTTTTCTATTTTTCAAAAGAGTAGAAATTGGTAGCAAGGCTTATTAGAGTTTTTGTTATTTATTTTTGTTCTCAAGGCACATTACAACACACAACAAACAGGTGACAGGGACTTTGTTTCTTTTGCATGAAAAAGAGCCAGTTGAAAAAAAAGGGTACCTTTATTTTTCCAAGTACAAAAGCACACATTTGATGTGTGGTTGATATGCATGCAAAACCCATTCGGACGGCTCAGATTTATGCCCAAACTTTGTTCTCACTCACACACACTTCAAGAAACTAAGAAGAAAAAAGGAAAAACAGATAAAAAAAAAAAAAAATCTTTTCATTGAAGGCAATGTAGTCTACAACTCAGATTTGGGCTTTTGCAGTACTGTACAAATCTGTATGCCATAAAACTGTAATGACTGTGTGTTAGTGTGTGATGTGTGTGAGAGAGAAGGTGAAATCTCAGTTCAGATTCATATCTGCATTAATACTCACTTTTTACCCTCTCTTTTTCTCTGTACTGTGGAATAAATAATAATAATAGCAACAAAAAATCTGATGAGGGTGAGAACTGGTTTCCAGGAGTAGTTTGGTTTTCACAGAAGTTGCATAAAGCCACTACTAACAGTTACTCTAAAATCATGGCATCTTGTGGCAAATCACATTAGAAAATTTGAAAAAATAAAAGTAAAAAGCAATAAATTTCACCCCATGTTTAAACCAACTAAGGCTGGATGTATATGAATGCAAAAGGACCAGAAATTTTTCAGAATGGATTGAGGTGATCTATTCAAAAAAATAATTGTTAGATTTAAGTTACATCTTATGTTTGAAATGTGTCCACAATTTGGACAAGATTTTGAGTGTTATCAAGTCTCACATTTATCATTTGAGACCCGCTCCTGGAAGTGGTCTTAGAAAAATATTGGAACTAGAAATAAAATATTGAATGATGTAAAAATTATACAAAAAATAGAACAGAAATAAAAAAGAAACTCCATCAGTTGGAACCAGAACCAAAATTGAAATATCTGGATCTGGCAGTGACATACTATAAAATATAGTATAAATAGAAGTTTTACATTTAATAATTATATTTATACATTTTTTGTAAATATTATGATTGTCTGATTAGTACGTAGCTTAATAGTAGCATGTTTTGTCGAAGTATATGTCAAGGGGTGTTATTCAAACTGAGTCGAGTAACTCATGTTCAAGTTCGTGCTCGTTTAATAACCAAGTCAAATGCTCAGCTTGATCTCGATTAGACTCGTTTAATAAACCCAATACCTTAAAACGAGTTTGCGAACAATTCCGACTCGACTATGTTATTTTAATCTATAAAAACTAAAACAATAAAAAATAGTTGTTCCCAAATAAACCCAACTTGTTTAAATATATAAACTAGACGAGCCCGAGCTTTCACGGGCTATGTTTGCGAATAACTCATTTACCAATAGTATTAACTTGGACTAATTGATGATAGAAGATTCTTAAGAATCTTTTGGACAAGAGTCATAATTAAGAATAATTATACCATCCTCATGATTATTCTCATCAGTTATTTTCATGGATACTATTGAAGTAATGCAACAAGTAACAACTATCTAGCATATATACCACAAAGGATATATTGTCCTTATCAGTTATATTATGTAGTAGGTAGCTACAAAGGATGGTGATATCTATGATAACCTTGGCATTTACTTATGTTCAATTTTTTAACTAGACTTTTTAATGTTAAAACAACCAACATTTTAAAATTTTCTGGCGTGCAATTTTCTTCCCCAAATCCTACCCATTTTTTAAGGAAGAGCTTAAAGCAACTTCACATTTCAAAATTCTAATTCTGGTCAGCTTTGAATCACTAGTTTTTGAGGGTTGACCACAAATATAATTATTCTTTTTTTTCCCTTCTCATTTTGTTCTTGAACTAAAAAAATATGCCAGGTCTACTTTTTTATTTTTACATCTTTGTTTATTCATGTATTGTTTTTCTATCTTAAATGTACCAAAAGAATTAAGAACAATCTTTGAATTCACGATGATTAATGGAATTCCAATTTTTTTTTTTCCATTATTCACTAGTGAGTTTGCATCACCAAAAAAAATACATAATGTCCACACGATTCTAAGTTCCATGTATAAATAAAATTATCAATAAAACTAATACAAGACAAACCTACCGATTAGCAAGTTATATTTTTTTAATAGATATGAATACTTTATAACTGAAAGTCATTATCTCAAAAATAATATAAATAACAGTACAATATTTAATATCATAAGTATGTATTTTTTATTAAAAAAATATAACTACAAATATTTGTGCAATACTATGACAGACTCGATCTCAATTGAATTGAACTATAGAACTTGGAGAGTTAAAAAATAAAATCCAAACCGCGTGACCAACCAGAAAGACTGCGGGTGCGAACCACAGGATACCACACTCCGTGCCTTGACCCTAAGCAGAAACCAATGCGTTGCCGCCACGTGGACACCTCCGTTCCTCGTTTAACCAGAAACTACGGTCCCACCAAAAAATCGATCACAGACGATCGACGCCTCATTAAACGGTGAGAGAGAATCTGTGGATGTGGGTCCCCCCATGCCGAACGTGGTCCCCGGCGAAGAGTTAAATTTGTGCTGGATCGCGTAGGGTGGGGTGGCGCTCTAGAGAATCTTTTTCACCTCAGGCGAAAGAAA